ATGCAGGGCCTCGGAAGTTAATCTTTCTTTATGTAAATGGAAAGATTTCCCCAGTATGTCTACATTCTCAAAGTCAATCATGTGCCCACTTTCAATTACATGCATAGCTATTGCTAATCACTTTTCTAAATTTGTTTAATCCATCTTGATTCTTCGGTGGATGTTTCGTACATAACTTGTGCTCACTTACCCTAACTTTTAGGGGTCTGCAACTTTCTCCAATATAATTAGCTTCACATTCCAAACATTAAGTTTTGTAGACACAGTTGTTCTGTGTAATTTTAGGAATTGTATCTTTCACTTTGACTAAGATCTTTTCTGGTGAATTTGAAGGTTTAAAACATACTTTAATACCATGTGAGGAGCACACTCTTTTAATCTGTTCAGAAGTACCTTTCTGATATGGTATCGTCGTAGATGAGGCCCATGATTTTGTTGTACCTTCATTAATAAAATGAAAGCTGAAACATGTAAATTACTGAGGAAAATGAAACTCAAAGTTGGAAATGCAAAATGGTTTTCATTAGCTCCTAAGACGTACACTGCCGCTAGATTTTACGGTAAACCAAAAATCCACAAAACAGGGATTTCCATCAGACCAATTATTTTGACTTTACAAATTCTATAACCTATCGTCTATCTAAATATTTATCAAGAATTCTGAAACGATCCCAATATGACATTCCAAAAATAAAAAATGCTCAAGATTTCAAAAATAAACTATTGAATATGACCATATGAGATGAAAATATGGCAAGTTATGATGTAATTTCTCTTTTCGCTAGTATACCAATTTGTGAATGTTTAGATATTGTAAGGACTGGTATTAATAACAACCAAGATGTAATACCTGAATGTCCGCTTTCAACAGAGGATATTATAAAATCGTTGAAGCTTTGCTCAGAATCTACACACTTCACGTTTAGAGATAGAATGTACCGTCAACCAAATGGAGTTGCAATAGGTTCACCAGCATCTCCAATTGTGGCGACTCTCTATATGAAAGCTTTAGAAGAAAGATTTTTAAGAAGTGTCCACTGTCAACCCAGAATTTGGTATAGATATGTGGATGACACATGTCATTCTTAAGAAAACAAATCAACGAGAATTCTTAGAACATATGAATTAAATTCTATTTCAGATTCCATGAAATTTACTAGTGAAATAGAATCTAAGGATGGCACCCTGAACTTTTTAGACCGTCTTATCCAAAGAACGATTGAAGATAAGTTCTGTATTAAAATATACAGAAAACCAACACATTCCGGTAAATATTTAGACTTAAAATCGGATTGTCCAACTAACGTGAAGATTAGTGTCGCATTGAACCTACTGAACAAAGCGAAAAATATCGTAACCGATCTCAATGATTTGAAAAATGGAATCTCATGAATAAAGAATGCTTCGATGAAAAATGGATGCCCTAAAAAGTTCTTGAAGAACATTATCGGTCAACCCAATAAAACTGCAAGCACTACTACTACTTGTAATAAACGTACAACAAAATCATGGGCCTCATCTACGACGATACCATATCAGAAAGGTACTTCTGAACAGATTAAAAGAGTGTGCTCCTCACATGGTATTAAAGTGTGTTTTAAACCTTCAAATTCACCAGAAAAGATCTTAGTCAAAGTGAAAGATACAATTCCTAAAATTACACAGAACAACTGTGTCTACAAAACTTAATGTTTGGAATGTGAAGCTAATTATATTGGAGAAAGTTGCAGACCCCTAAAAGTTAGGGTAAGTGAGCACAAGTTATGTACGAAACATCCACCGAAGAATCAAGATGGATTAAACAAATTTAGAAAAGTGATTAGCAATAGCTATGCATGTAATTGAAAGTGGGCACATGATTGACTTTGAGAATGTAGACATACTGGGGAAATCTTTCCATTTACATAAAGAAAGATTAACTTCCGAGGCCCTGCATATTTTAACAACATCAAATGCTATAAACAGAAAAGAAGGACTAAACTTGTCACCTGTCTGGCAAACATTAATCTGCCAAAATCATTAATGATGACCTTTTCGAATTGAAGTACAATAACAATTATTGACAGTTTTATAAATAGACGTACAATAAACAACACATTCTACAACATACATAAACACACACGTACACACATTTTAACTATCTCATATAATCTTAGTATTAATGCTTGTATTATACCGTCGTTGGTTGGACCGAATTGATAGGTTTCTATTGGCACATGGGCTCCTGTGCGGATGCTTTGATATCCATCATCTTATATACTCGTTGACAAATGACAATAATAACAGCCATGAACTTGTAATGACTAATCTTAATTACTCAGGTTGGGCGAGAAACTCACCCGACCGGTGACTTACGTTTACTAAATATATTTGATGTATCATTTGACTATATATTTTGAGGTTAACAGAAAAATCCGTATATTCTGCTGAGGAAGCTGTGGCTTACAGAGCGAAACGTTCAGAAATATCTTGTTTTGATTTTCTAAACACGCTGGGATTATATTAAAATATATTCTTTTAGTGGTTCATTGAAACTCGGCGCTGAACTTCTTCCAGGACATTCGTACTAACTGCAGTCTGGGTGTTTATGGTTACGTGGAAGAGTTTAAGACTAATCGTGGTTTGCTAGAAAGAGAATCCTAGCTGGTTGATAAGATTATGATTACTGACGGAGATAGCTTGGGCATGGTATTGAACATACCGAATTACGTCATATCACAGCGCTCAAGAGTGGCCTTAGGTATGAAACAAAGGGTGTCCATATCAGAACTGATACCTGTCAATGTAGTCTCTTTGTTTAGGCAGTGTAAGGAGGCGTATGCTATTTAGTCTTGATTGTCTAATTGTAACGAATCAAGGGTGAGAAACTCTGATATAATTCCAGATCGATCCTAATTCCTCAAATGTATACACTGTTATTGAAGGTTCTTGGCTTTTTAATCTCCATCTGTTTATTTTCTACCTTGATACATGTTTATCTTTAATACCCCACTTTTCTTATCCACTTGTTCTTTGTATGTTGTAAAATGTTGTAAGTGGGACCGATGTACTTTCGTACTAGGTCCTACTTTGATCTTCCTGTCTATACATTGTCATGCCCATACTGATGTACACCTTTTGTGCTAATCCATATTGGAATCCTTTTTTTGAAGAACGTCATAATAAAGTTCTGAACATGGTCTTGTTATTTAGCTGACAATTACTGTCTTAATAAACCTTCCTTCTCTTTATTTGTGAAGTCTCATGACTTCAACACAAATTTTGGTGACTTAACTGGACGTGGGCTGTGCCTTTAAAGTAACAGTTACCATTACCAGTAATCCTCTCTTATTAAAACAACCGCTTTTTCAGGTAGCATTCACCTCTGCAACCTTGTTTGTGTTTGTACTAAGGTATGCGCTTTTCTAATTTAAGGGTTAACAATACATGAGTTAGATTTGAGTCCGTGACTCATTCACTGACTGGGCTGCTCAGATCATTGAGATAAGAATACTAGTAGACCCGTGTAACCCCATACAAAGTGTAGCAGTTCACGTCATTCCACGCCGCAATGGTACATAGGTTCCAAGGTTCGCCCAATATCAGTAAAATTGTATTTAGACTGAATGCAGCTGTCCGCTTGTGGTAAACACTGTGGTGCCACGAAAGGTTGTAACGTTGTTCGTACTGAAGTACAACTGTGCTGTTTTTCGCAAACGGTTTACCTCCGAAGTCTTTAAGGACGACCGTCAGGAATTACTAACTACTCAATTAGAAACTAACTAACCAGAGTACGGGGAACAGGGATTGCCCCTTAAAACTAACCTTAGCCACTCACTGCTTCAGCTTATATGTAGCGCGAAAATTTCTCTGATGATAGCAGCAAACAAATGAACCTAATATATTATTTTCCATAATCAAAAGCATATTCCAGGCCTAACAAGAGTGCATTGATCAGATCTTCACCTAGTTGACAGATTCTAAAACCTATCCGCCATAAATACTCTATAATTCTTCACTTAAGAGTGGCAATCTACTCAGTCCATTAGGTTAGTCAGCCTTCAATCTCAACTTGGGACCAGCGATATTGTGTAATAAACCAAGTTGCCACACAGCGCACGAAGATACAAGCAATCATTATATATATATATATATATATATATATATATATATATATATATATATATATATATATATATATCACGTAACCCGACCCGGTATATGCTTATGTACCAGAATATGGGCCACACTTGTTATTTGGGAGCTTATAGTGCTGCCTGGTTGCCCAGACCAAAGCAGTTGAAGTAGGATTCGAACCCAGAGTCCACTGATTGAAAGTCGAGTTCCTAGGCGGATGAACCACATCTCCATGCAAGTGGTATAAGTTGACAGAAACTAGCCAAGCCTCTGCCAAAATCTCATCGGTCACTGAATCATCAGGGTGGACCGGACTTCCCAAGCAAACGAAGTGGTCAACGCGCTCAACCGCTTCAGTCCCTATCGACAGACGTGGTCACTTTTTGTGCCCGATTGTCTACTTAGCAAGGAAACTTTGGACTTCTCTTGTGGGTGCAGTATGATTTACTTCTACTCTTCAGTGATTCACTTTCTCCCAGCAGGGGACGTAGTCAACTTGAAGTACGCAAATGATATTGTCCTGCTATGTAAAAATACTGAAGAAATGCAGACTTGTGAACACCTTGAGCAAAAATCTGAGTATTTGGCATTTGTTTCACAACTGTCGAATGTAATGTGATACTCGAGGAGTCATCTGTACCAATTTTTAGTTTGAGGATAGGGAGTAAGTGGTAGAATGCATTGAATATCTCACTTGAGGAGGTGCATCAGTTCGAATGTTACAGTTGCTGATGAAATCTCAGCTTGGATACAGAAGGTACATTTGGTATTTGTCAACTTGTGTCATCTCTAACACAGTTGAGTATGCTGCGCTACAGTCCACTCTATCCTATTATACAACTGAGATGACTGTTTAAAATACAATGTATGAATAGTTTATTTATTTTTGACTACAGGCGTCTTCATAGCGTTTACATGTGGTGGGACCACCGTGTGTGTAACGTCAAGGTTTGTCAAAAGGCAGTAGGCAAGTCAATCGATAAAGTTGTGGACTATAACTGACAAAATTTAAACGTGGGCTCCGGGTTCAAACCCAGCTTCAACTACTTCGGCCTAGACAACCGCGTAGTTATCTATAGCTGTTATATAGTAAGTGGACCACAGCATATTATGCAGAATATTTACTAATATCAATCACATTATATTTATTACTTAGAAGCAGTGGTTGAGTTTGCGTTGTACCACTCTGGCTCTTTCTTCAGAACTCAAAATTGGTCATCGGGGTGCAAGTTAGTTGACTCATTACTCTCCTCTGAGTTTAAAACATCAGCCTTAACACGGCTTTGTGAGTTGGAATAAAGAGCTTTGATCAGCGTTACGTACTTTCTCGGTAATCTTTTCCCAGTTAGACACTACCACAACACCAAGGTCGACTGAGTCAAATGCCGCCTTCAGGTCAAGAAATGTGGCAAGTGTCGGCCACTGGCCGGTATGTTTTCCTGTGTTCCAGAACCTCCCGTACGGTAAAAATCTGGTCGATGGACCCTTGCCCAGGTCCGAGACCTGCCTAGTTTTAGGTGTCAGATAACTATGGACCCATGGATTTTGGACACTGTCAGTCCAACTAATTCCTCTGTCACAAGATTTCTCTCCCTTATAGACTGGGATGATCAACGAAATACACCAGTCTGACGGCACTGCCTCTGATTCCCATGCACTAGCTAGTACCTCCGTCACTTTAATTAGCTATTTCCTACCTCCATCATTGAAACTGTCAGGTCCTGGTGCTTCTCGCCGTTTCAGGGTCGTTACAGCTTTCTCAACTTCAAGGAGAATTAAAGACCGACGTCTACGTCTGATTCAGGTCCAGGTTGGATGTTGGGCACCATACCGGTGCAGACGATGTGGGTTCATAGTCGAAGTCGAAACTAAAAAGCTTAAATTTCAAACTTCTAAAAAGGCTGTGTATTATTACTGGTCTCAAGCAGATATCCCTTGGGTTCTGCTGTCACACACCAACTCTTGTTTTATATGTGTCCTAAGGAGAAATAGCCCTCTACGATGTGGGCAGCCGGGAAGTGTCAACTGCTCGCGCGCCTCCAGTAGTGTACAAGATCCATCAGACCTGATTTTCATGCTAGTTTAGTATTTAGTAACGTCAACCCTCTAACTCACTTTTCAGGTCATTTGGTAATCATTTACTTGAAACTTAACTTGTTAAACGCAAAGTAAATTACTGGGGTTGGGGTCGCAGTGACCATATTAATAATTATAGTTTATAGTTACTGTACTTACTGCATCTTAATTTCCAGATTTGTTTTATGAAATTCATTCGTTCAGCGAACATGAACGTTATTTTTATCAGTTCCGGTCATACTGCCAAGATTATTTCCAGTTTTAAATGTATATTTCATGTTGCTTCTTTTGTAGGTAATTAGTTAAATCAAATGCCTTGCAGAAATGCTACTCATTCTACTCATACTTCACTAAAATCATACGGAGCAAAGTATTATACATATATTTCACTGAAGTATATCTTCGGAGATTCAAACTCAACCATTGTATTCACACAAGCCATGATATAGTGGTTTTGCAGTTGGAAAACAAGCTGATAGAAGAATTAGATGCATTTATGTCAGACGAAAACGACACTTGAACCAGGTCAGTCATCACAAACCTTTGAAACTCAATGCATTCGTAGTACCCCACTATCATGTGACGACATAGTGCGCAACACAGACAGCCTTGGCAAATCTGGAACTAGCAGTTTCTTGGAATTTCCTAAAACAGCCTGTCCTAGTCATCTAAATACTGATACTAGTGATTCGATTCATGAAGTGCATAAACTTTTAAATCCAGGTCATTTTTCCACCCCACAGTCAAACAATCAAAGTCAACCATCCTCGAACGAAAACAACGAACAATCCGATGGCAGTAGGAAATTGGTTGGTTCTGAAAGTCGGATGAGCAATTCAACTTTACAGTGTATGGATAACTATTACGATGATGACGATGATGATGATGACGCCTTGCTAGTAAAAGAGTTCAATCAAGAACACACAGGGTTTGAGTGTAGTTCGGGTGATTGTGGATCAGGAGATTATGACGTTGGCACATTTGGACTGATATCAGTTGATAACAGAATTACTAAAGAAGAGTTTCTCCCCCTTTTCGCGCGTTATCGTCCATCTCCTCCTCCTCCACTTTCACGAGGACAACTATTATTCACTCCTAACCAGTCGTCTGAGCCTTCGGAAAGAACTGAACAACCCTCAAGATTCATCAACTCAGAATATCTGGCTTCGCAGGTAAAGGGATATTCTCAGCTTCAGACGAATGACTTAGAAGGTACTACCGATGATTTTAATTCATCTAGTCACAGGTGGCTATCGGAAGATGAAACTTGTGATATTAACCCTACCTTGTACCATCGTGTTGTGGAAGAACCTTCACCTTTCATTGGTTTATCTACAGCATTGTCTCCTACTGCACTCACAATGGACGCTGGTGTTATAACTTCCTCATCCCTTTCTCTATCCTCAGCTCTATCTAGAGTAGCTGCAGACGACCAAGTTTCACTGCCACTGACAGCATCATCCAGTACAAGAAATAGTGCCAGTACTAATCCTGTTAACAGCCCACCTTTGCAAGCATTAACAGGGACGACGACATGTGCTCCATCAAATCAACCTATTTCAGATGAGCAAGAAGTTTCAGTTGCATGCGTTTCTGATGCATTGATCCTACCCATTGCCAAATCGGCAGTACATTCTTATATTACAGATGATCCATCTATCAGTGCTCGCCAAAGGCTAATGGGAGCTTCTGCAGCTGCAGCTATTTTGGCTGCATCTGCATATGCTGCACATAACTACCCAACGAAAATTAACAGCTATAGAGATATGATTAATGTGAAGGGGCAAGATGTTCACTTGCGTCAGTTACCAGTGCATTCTTCACTAATTGGTGATCTATATCCAAGTTCATCACTTTTGCAAGTCCAGTCGAATCCCCGATTATCTTTATCTTCACTCAAACACCGTGATCCTTGGTCTATACCTCTGAGAAAAATGTCAGTGAATCTAATTCAGACATATAAGCACATAAACGAGGTAAGGTACAAATGTTTTTTCTTGTGAATGTAAGGGTATATTGTATAATTCCGTGTTAATTTGTTTGCTTGGTATTGCATCCAACTAATCACTATAATTTAACTGATTACATTTCAAACATAATTTATTGTTCATATTTCTTCTTCATTTGTCTTATGGGCAGCAGAATTTCCCAACTATTTAAAATGGATATTGAGTCGTTCCCATTGCATGCGTTGTACTTTGGTTTGACAAACTAGGCTTCAGTTATCAATTTCCTCCTCCATCCAGTTTTAAGACTAAGGTGGCACTTAAACCCACAAACTCTTAAAGAAACAAGCTTTTCAGGCTGAAGAATTTTATATGGCCCATTAGACAAAATAATTCAGTTTATTGAATTCCAGGCAGCGATTGTGAGGTTAAATATGCATGTCGGAGTAGTCAACTGGAGTACTTAGAACAACGGACCACAAAAACCCGACCAAATGTAGAATAGTAGTGAGGTAATAAATCTAGAGGAAAACCCAGCCATGGCGATGCATGCAACCGCACAATCACATCATAGGATACGGAAAGGCGGAAAAGAGATTAGTGAATAGAATTTTATTTATCGAATCAACATCGAATGCATGCAATCGGAATGACTCAACACCTATTCCAGACATTTAGGAAATTCTACTAGGACAAATAAATAAATATGAACGAGTTATGTTCAAAACGTCATCCAGTAAATAATACTTCGTTGTGTGAAAAATCCGGTGTATAAGATAATAAAAACAAGTGGTTCAACGGTGGTTTCACTCACTAACCTGATTATATATATATATATATATATATATATATATATATATATATATATAAAAGCAAAGTGATGCAATATATGTAAAATCGAGATACCACTTTCATCCTAAAATAGTCAAAATGTTTATGAATGTTGATAAGTAATCACAAACCATAGTAACAAGCAGAATTTAGTTGCCGACCTGGAAATGCAGTTACTTAGATTAGTGATTATTGCTCAAGACAACACAAAAATTTAGTAATGATGATTATGTTTAAATGAATTAAATAACAGATATTTAGTATTTAAACAAGGAACAGTTGATATCTTGTAAGAAATAAAGAGTTAGGAGGTGGAATGTTTGAAGCGCTGTGGATTAAGACCATAAAAGAATAAGAGTGGAACAAGTTTCTTTTGTATGCAAAGCTTGGGCTTTTCTATCTGGATTGCTAAGGCTTCAGCAATATAAAGAAGGCGCGCGCGCACTGATTGTGGTAGTTCTCTTTTTATTTTGTGAATAACTTTGAAAGAGGAGACGTCAAGGTGTTCCATTATCACACTTCTTATAGATCCGTTACTACCTCTTTCTAGCCAGCCACGCATGATAGTGTTCTTGAACTCTTTTTGTACGGAAACTGCGTCGAACGATCAGTATACCTAGCCTCACAGAAGCAGGTAAACTGGTATATACCCATAGAGGTGACCAGATACGAAATCATGTCGTTCAAGTCAGGGCGACTAGAGAACAGTACACTCAAAGTTTCTGCATAGGATATTCCTTCCAGAAAGCTTGAAATCCTTTGTAGGGTCTCCACAGTTAGATCGCCTTTGAAGTCGAGTTATATGTAGCATCCTTTTTGATACAGAAATTGATTATTGGCTGAGGGGTTTGGGTTTGATATTATATCTATAAACCGAGGTGGATATCTGCTTTTAATCAAAGTTTTTCCCTAAAATGCCTATCTCCTCACATATATAGCATCTGGGCTACAAAGTGTCAAATGCGAAGAGATATAATTAAATTTACCTTGCGATCAATGGGCACTCAGTTGTAGGAATTTGTCGGTTTAAGAGTTTTAAAAGTCCCCATCATGTAAATTAGATCAAGATGTAAGCTCCCAAATTGTTTTCAGTTAGATCCTCTCAAGGCTTTACTTTCATAAATAGCTAAATATATCTAAAAACTAAACCAATCATGTAGATTTGTCGGTTAATATGATGTTTTAAAAAAACGATGGCAATAATAATAATAATAACGTTGACAGTGTTGACTAAAGGAATGTTTATGTAAATGTTAATGATGATTAAGAACCAAGAAAATAGCAGGAAAATATAGACACTACGATAATCAAAGTAGGTTAAAAGCTTGGAAAAAGTTGCCTAATACTAAAGGACGAACTAAGTGAGTAAGCAAAATCTTAACAAGTATAGCAAGTTATATGAACTATGATCAAGATTTGACTGAATATTATCGCAAATATTTGCCGCTGAGTAAAAGCTTGGTATTAGATATAGTTTGTATTTGTGCAAGTCCCAGCGTGTTTGAAATGAAATAATTTCAACGTTTTGCACCGAAGTCCTTCAGCGAAAAACTCGGACCGGACTTCGGTGCAAAACATTGGAATTATTTCATTTCAAACACGCTGGGACTTACACAAATACGAACTATGTCTAGTGTCAAACATAGTAGGTGTATGAAAGGGGGTGAAGAACAAGAAAGAGATAGGAGAAATTTCAATGATATAGTCGTTTAAGTATTCCCTGATCAAGGGAAGGGATGTAAAAACTTCTAGACACAAAGACTAGGATTCCCACAGCTTCTGCTATGTGTAAAAAATGAGCTCGAATACCTTACGAAAAATTAATCGGTATACGGTGAATAATCTTGAAAGCATTGTTCTTATCTATCAAATGACCACTATCAACAAGATATGATAAAACAGCTTCTAATGAATTTCATCCGTCCCTTTCCTAACCGTGTAGGTAGATGCTCAGAAACACGTCTGTTGTCTAGTAGAACATCATATAGAACTTTCTCTACAGGAGCAGCTAAACTCTTAAATGGCAAAAATAGATAACTTATCTTTCGTCTGAGTAACAACAACTGGTCCGTTGAAAAATGACACAAATGCACGGCATAAAAGTCTTCTCAATGGCTGTAAAAGGCCTCTGATATAAAACTTCTCTGGCTATATCTCCATTAAATTGCAGTTTCATGAACAGAGATCCTTTTTTGAACGGTAATAAATCCAGGTTTATTTCCCCTCGCTTTATATATGTATCTTTTTATAAAGCTATTAGGATAACCCATTTCGATCAATGAGTTTCGAATATATTCTAACTCCTCATGTATTAAATCATCCAATCATACTCTTCTCGTTGTGTTAGTAAGGTATTTAACCAGGTTGGCTTTGTACCGAATGGGTGCTTGGCTAAAAAAGTGTGTGTACTGACTTACAGATACGGTCTTCCTGTAAATACATCTCTTCTGCTTAGCAAGACGTCGAAGAAGTGTAGTTTACTCGCATTTTCTTCTTCACAGGGAAAGTGAATGAAGGGTGCTCCTCATTAAATTTTCTTAACATCTCTTTTCTATGCGCATTCTGATCCAGGACAATGATTGTGTCATCAATATAACGGTGTTACATATTCACCTCATTAATGGGATCTTTTAACGCCTCGTTCTTTAGTTTGGCAAGAAATATATCATCTAAAGTAGGACCTTAGGGAACTCACAGCTGTTCCACCAATCTGTCTATAATGTGTGCCACTGAAGACAAAATGTAAATTCTTAGTGTATCTAAGAAGCAACTCCCTGAGGATCTGCACTGGAATTTCAATATTGATTTACCTTTCCGAGACAGCTATCCAATCCTCCCACGTTTCCAATGTTCCTGCAGCTGATATCGGTCCATGATGAATTCAAACCTTGCCGATATTTGTTGACACGCTCTATCGTCTCCAATAATACCACATTAAGGAATAATGATGAATAATTAAGCGACATTTGTTCCCCGATTAAATTCACAGTATATAGCTTAGAAATAAATTTGAAGGCGTCCTTCACATTGTAGTTTACTAATTCTTCGTGTAAGGGATCTAAAATCCTTACTGGCCACTTTGCAGCTACGTGGTAAGGGGAGTTAGATATGCCTGAAACTGGACAAAGGAGTCTAGGTTTGTGTACTTTAGATAGGCTATACAGCTGTGGTGTGCTACTCCCTTTGGGTCTGAGTCTAAGTGGACTCAGAAATTGCCCGCACTTTGCTTAGTTCCTTAAGGATATTTGTTACCTATTTCTCTGCTTTTCCATTTAAGTTTGAAGAGCAGTCATTTTGTCAATGTAGCCATCTCTATCTAACAACAATACACCTCATTTTTGCCTAGTTTACTTATTATTGGATTTCTGTCTTTCTCGACGTTGTTTCATGTGCAAACCTTTTGTAAAAAAACTGGCATTTTTGCACTGTTGGCAGCTGTCAATTAGTATAGTTTTAAACCTGATTAGTTCACTGTCAGGAGACGTAAACAGTTCCTTTGTTTGTAATGTATACATCTGTGCCTATTTGGTTACTGTTGTGTCCATAGTCACAGAATTTGGGACCCAAAGATAATACCTCTAGTTGAATCTTGTCTATTTCATTAGTGGAAAAGTTGCGAACATACCTAATTGAGTCTGAAGAAAATTTGCTTTCTGATTTTTGATTTTACAGGGATTTGAGCAGTTTTAGTTGTCTCATCCCCCTGTTCTGCTTAACTTTCTCGGCATAACTAAGACTGATCAACTCATACCATTTCCTTTTGTGAATGTATTATTGCATTCCTTTACATTCGTCATGTAGCCACTCACTTTCCAGTGTTTATCTTAAATTATTGTCTCGTTGATCTCTGTGTGGAAAAAGTTGTATTGACTTGCGTTCGTCCCAATTTCTAGATTCCGTTCACTGCCTCTTTTTCTACTATGATAGTGATAACACATAATCATAGTTTTTTTTCGGAGAATGGTATTTTACTGCATTGGAGACTTTCATCTAGTCAAATTACTGAGTACGCTGATTTCCCTGACAACATTTAACGCTGTGGTATAAAATTTGTTCATTGGCTCTAAACATATTTCAAAGTACTGAGTCTGCAATTTCTCATTTAAAAATACATTTTATGAAACTCAACACATTGTGAAACACTGCGAAATGTTAGCGTTGGAACTATCTGGTTGAGATTCAACATAGAGTGTAACAATCTACGTATCATTCTTGTTAACTTAAGTTGTTACTTTAAGTAATATTGTATTCCCTTCACTAAAAATTCTCTTTAGCAAAACAGAGGATAAGCATAATACCATCATATTGGTTGTTAAAACTGTTTTTATCTGTCATCTTTATTTTCTTGTTGAAAATCATGCAATTTTCTCATCGATTTTAGGTTTACTATCGTAAAAAGCGACGCCTCCGGGAACAGCAGCGCCAGGCAAATGAAGCTAATGCTTCAGTTTCCGATACTCCATTTTATAAAGTTTGTTCACCTGAACAGAATCTGCCGTCTAATAACCACGTGGATTCACTTTGGAGAATGTCAAATAACAGTGAAGCACACCCAATGTATGATCATGGGAATACGGACAGTAGTACTAGAACTACAGAGCACCAGTTACTTAGTTCAACTGTTTTAACTCAACAGAGTCCAGCAACTTTTAGCAATCCCGCAAATATACATATAAATTACAATGTAGGTTCAGCTGTTCAATCACAAACTTTTCCTTGCAATCATTCTATCGTGTCTTCCAAAAACTCACCTTATCCTCGACATCCAACATTACCGAATGTATCTCGAGTAGATTCTGATCAAACAGTTCAGTCTTACCTGTATAATGCAACTACCCTAAATGGCGTAACAAATCGCTTTTCGACACTTGGTAAGTAACATCACTACCAGACTGCTCATAATATCAGTGCTTGATAATGTTCCTTATCAAATATATGGACGTTCAAAGATTATCCATCATAAAGCAGGGAATAGTCAAAATCTCAATTCTCTTTGTAAATTATAGAGGTAAAAGAGCTTGTAGTAAGCTACGTATTTTCATAGCATCCTAAAAATAACTAAGTGAGACATCATTCACTAACTGGTAAAGAAACCAAGCATCAGTGTTTTGAGAATTATCTGAATACTTTAGAATGGGATAATGGGAGGAGTGTTATCCGGTTCTACTATTCAGCGGAAAAAATTTTCTTTCAAACCAATCCTTTTCAGTAGCTGCACAACCATATTTATAGCATTAGCAAACAAGTCTTGTACAGCTACTAAAAATGATTCATAGGAAAGAAAATTTTATTCACTGAATTACTTTGTGCTTATTTGAATGTCTCAATAGATTTCTTTTCTGATTTTTGTTCTACTTGCAACTTGGCAGCTGGATTTACCTTCGTTCGAACGAGTATTGAGGTGCTCATAGTGATCATCTTTACAAAGTAACGGTGATAAATAATCACTACTCTTATTCCCTTCATATTTTTATTTATTGTTACAGTTGAAATCTTTGAGTTTTTTTCACTTACCCACTGGCTAGGGCAAATGACTTAGGAACGTATTCGAATTTTTATCAACCTGATGGTGCATATGAGCGGACGTCTCATGTTAAATCAATTACATGTGAATAAAATCACTAAAAAGCATGATAAACATTCTGTACAGTAGTATTTAGTCATCCATATGAGAAGTCTTTGTTCCAGTGAAAACCAATTAGTTTCACCAATCTGAAGTGGGTAATAAGCCTTACTGATAGTTGTCATATCACTATAAGGACTACCTTCTTAGGACAAAAACTGGATACTTAATGTTTGTGACATACTTCAAGTAACAAGACTAAAAGCATACTTTTTCGGTTACTGTTTCAATACCTTGACTGATTATTGGACTGAAGAGCACCGTCAAAATTGTCCATGATAGCAACTTAATGACAATGTGAATTATGGGTTAAAGCCTACGTATTATAAAGATAAGATAGTGAATGTGCGCATCATCTTTTACACTTAAAAATGCTATTCTCCTTGGATCTAAAGTGCCACTGATGAGCTTATTTTGTGCTATTTGTGACTCGATTGATCCCAACCAGTCATTTTTCTGTTTCAGTTACCCGTTACACTGAATTTCTTTGCATATCGTTTAATACCTAAATTAAATATTCCTACTTTGATTTTAGGTATTTCGGGTTCTGTCTATGATATAGGCAATTCAGAAGTAGATACAAGTCTAGCACCTACTGGTCTCGGTAATGTTTGGCTACCAGCAAGTAATACCGGCTCAACTGTTTTGAAGGCAATTCAGTCTACATCGCATATTTCCAAACCACTCCCGTTGGGAAGCGGGAAGTCATTGATAAGTGATCAGAGAGATTTATATATTTCATCTGACCAGAAATTTATTGAACCACAACCAATACATTTTCAACACTTATTGCCATACCAGTCTGTCTTATCATCACAAACAGCGTTTCCGAATTACATGGAACAAAATCCAGTATCTCTGGACAGCAATATGCATCCCAGTATTTCGTCACAAATCCCATTATGTCTACTGTCAGCAACAGAGGGTAGGAATGTAAATGTCGACACAACTGGTGGATTTTATCAAAACCAATTCGATGTAAATATAAAACCAGTCCACTCGCATCATTCAATTTCTCTGCCTGTTGGAAATGTCAATTCAACTAACTGTACACACAACAATAGTTTAATGTCTTCAGCTTGTTATTATAATTTAACACCGTTCGATCCAATGTCACCAACCAACAGTCGAATACCTAGTGTCTTTTTGAATACACAACAACACACAACAAACATCCGTTCTGTGAGCCATAACCAAAATGAATTTGTCTCAAATTCTACAAATTCACCCCTTTATATGTGTACGTTTAAGCGTGAATTTCAGTCACTAAACCCTTTTATTTTGAGTAGATATTAGGTTTTTTCTTTCGCATAAGTGTCATGGTTAGTATAGGGTAGAAATGAGTCGGTTAAAATTTTCATTTGGTTTTTAAAACGAAGTAGGTGGAAGCGGTGATAAACCATGACACATTGTATCATTCTGATTGCTCATATGTGAAATAACCATCAGATCAGCAATACTGTGATCAGTTATTTGTCTCTTAGCAAAAAAATAAACTCACGAAAAGGACGAACTTTGACTGACGACGATAGTTAATTTATATTTTACCTACTATCTGTCTACTCAAAGAAAAAGTGTAGATACTTTAAGGGGCTATAAATATGTGTAAAAATATAGTCTCTTACGAACTCATTAGGTGTGGATATTATTGAGATAGGGTCAATAACATAGTGTGTTGTTACCTCAGCAATTTACAAATTGTTAGATCCAAAGTAGCAGCCATCATATCACCAATTCTGCTCTCTGACTGTAGACTTTATGAATGTGGTTAGCATTTCGTACTTGCTCATTGCACAGAACTCTTTTTCATTTTAGTCATTTCAGTATAATGAATTACAATTAATTACAATAAAAAACTTATTTCTTTGGTGTACTCTCCGCGTACACATTATCCTTAACTACAGTAACAATATAGCATAACTTGGGCACTTTGGTCGATTATAATTTCCATTTTAGTCTGTTTATTAGAAATGTCACACAGTAAAACAGTATCATTTACTGGATACGTTTAGGTCACAATTTATTGTCCATATTCATATCAGGTAACTCCACAACTTCGAGACAGTCTTTAGATATTCCTAGTTTTCTCTCCTTCTCTGTGATGACAAGGGTAGTAGAATTTTCCATATATCTGGGACAGATGCAGAATGATTTCCATTGCATGTATTTGGTGTTGATTCGATAGAGAAAGATTCGGTTATCAATCTCTCCCTCCACCCAACTAAGTTAGTTTTCAACACTATCATCCTTTCCCACCCTACTGTGTGAATGTGTGTCATTGCATGCAGAGCTATAGCCGAGCTTTTCTCCAGATTTCTTATCTTATTAGGATCTGCTAATCTTGATTTAGCTAGATTTTTGTGCTCTGTTATTCTAATCGACCCTGGTCGACTACTTTGACCTATGTACTTGACCTCGGAATCATTGCAAGGGAAGGGATTTGGTAAACCAGATTATTTTGCTGAATTGCATCGATAGGATTTTTTTAGCCTAAAAAGCTTGTTTCTAAGCGAATTTGTTGGTTTAAATGCCACTTTAATCCCGGCCTTATTGAGAATTCTTCGTAAAGCATTCTGAGGTGCCTTCCTTGTATGGTAACACCGCATAGGCTTTGGATTCTCTCTCAACCTCGTCACTATTATTACCATTAGTAATAGAATTGTTATGAATAACACCTGTGTTACTACTACTACTACCACTGGTAATACTTTTCTTTCGATTTATGGATTTATTTATAAATTCAGGTGGATAACTATTGAGACGTAGTGTATTCTTCATGTATCTAATTTCTTGTCGTAGATATTCCGGTCTACTAATAAGCTTTTTCGCCCTATCACTTAGGCGTTTAACTAAGCCTACTTTAACTGAAGTGAGTTCAGAAAATTTGAAGTCTAAGCAGAGATTCGAATGGGAAGGTTTCTTATATACACTAGTTTCTAAGAATTCTCAATAAGGCCGGGATTAAAGTGGCATTTAAACCGACAAACTCGCTTAGACCAGGGTCGATTAGAATAACAGAGCACAAAAATCTAGCTAAATCAAGATTAGCAGATCCTAATAAGATAAGAAATCTGGAGAAAAGCTCGGCTATAGCTCTGCATGCAATGACACACATTCACACAGTAGGGTGGGAAAGGATGATAGTGTTGAAAACTAACTTAGTTGGGTGGAGGGAGAGATTGATAACCGAATCTTTCTCTATCGAATCAACACCAAATACATGCAATGGAAATCATTCTGCATCTGTCCCAGATATATGGAAAATTCTACTACCCTTGTCATCACAGAGAAGGAGAGAAAACTAGGAATATCTAAAGACTGTCTCGAAGTTGTGGAGTTACCTGATATGAATATGGACAATAAATTGTGACCTAAACGTTATCCAGTAAATGATACTGTTTTACTGTGTGATATTTCTAATAAACAGACTAAGATAGAAAATTATAGCACAACTCATTTCCTTTTTGGGCCATAAGATAGGCAATGAAATGAGTTTCGCTTAAATGTTACAGTTATGTGGTATGCAAGCGTTAACCACATTGTTTTTGTCCGACAACATAAGAAATGTGGAAGATTTAAATACCACTGCCACTAAACTGACTTTCATTGAGTATTGACCTAAAATAAACTTCACTAGTCTATGACTAATTATAGATACATATTCTCCAAGCCCTCTATTCATATCTGTGTAATGGCCCCGTATTTCGAATTACATACGAATACAATCATGTTAATAAACATGACTGATATGTTCTGTTGACAAAGTATTAATGCTTATATGGGTGTAGTCAAAATATATATATATATATATATATATATATATATATATATATATATATATATATATATATACAGAAAGTTATTGTTGTTGTTTGTTCATTTGATGTATACGTAACCACTATTGATCGAATGTCGTAGCTTTGACTTTGTTAACAACTTTTTCTTACTATTTATTTATCTTGACAAAAGTCCGCATCACTTTTTGTACATATGCTGCGAATGCCTAGATAACGTTTACCTGAACGGGTTGTACCCCCTAAAGTGTAAGCAAAATAGGAAGAGGCTTACAGTTGGCTAATCAAGATATAGAATTGATCTGAGCAGTTTCTAGACCGTTTGAAGGGTTGTATGCTTTTCCAAACGACTCACAGAGACATTAACAATCAATATGTTGAGAGAAGACGTAGGGGGGGGATGGTCAGTTTGCAAATGATTTACAAATTTCACATTCACATTTTTCACAGCTGAGTATTTTTTTCAACTGTCCAATGTTAATACTATTTGAAATCAGTAGGAAGGGAGGAGTTGTATTTATGTTTTATCTTCCTCTAAATTATAAACATCTCATTAGTTAGTCTCTTTTTATTCACTAACTTTCCTTATTTCATTTAACGTTTAGTTTTTATTGTCGTTAGTATGATGAATCTCCTTTGTCTTCTTTTTGTCGTTCAGTCTGTTTGAGTTCACTGGTGTGAAATGTAAAGATTCTATGTTTTCCTTGTTTATTTCCCTTCTTCAGTGTTCCGTAGTTATCTTCTACTCCTCATTGACTCCACTGAAACGGTCAAACGTCCGTGTCCTCCCTTTCCATTATTCATCAGAAATAATCAAACTACTGCATCTAATGCCATTCTAATAGTCAACAAATATACACTATCTCTTAGGTACTCAAAGCTCCGTTTGCCTGGATATAGGTCTTCGATCCTTATTTTCATTCTCTACTAAAATCACAGTTAAACGTGAACCTGCTGTTTCGACTTATTGTGCATGTCAGTCTATTTAAAACCAGTAGTAAAAATCACCCCTTTCTAATACAAGCGATATAACTCTCTGACACAAAGTTTCGTAACCATATAAAAAAATCTGAAATACTATTATTGTCTAAAATCGAGTTAATTTTCAATATCGTGTGATAGATCTGCACGAACCATATATCGCCAAAGTATAAGATTTACATTATTTCTGATGAGCTTTGCGCTTTTAATACCTCAGACTGATGAGACTAAACAATCGAATTCGGTATCAACGGATGAGCAAACTGCTTTAAGTAACAAGTCATGTGTTGAGAGCAAAAATATGTAAACAGTGCGAAATATGTATTTTACTACAAATAGTTATGATTATTTTCACATATATTTTGCGTCTGCCTACTTCTTAGTGTCCATGTTTTACCGAGTTTTTACTAAATGGAAATGGAAAAATCATTTATTAATCTTATTTGTCTCGGTTACACAATTTTAAAATAATCCTCTTCGTTTGGTATATAACAGTGATAATAGTTGGGAATAGGTGAACCAGTTACTTTTGTGGTTGTTGATATATATCATAGTCCTTCCTTCTTTCATCTGAATCTGCACATACCACAACTGCCAACCTCCTGAAATTTTGCTCAATCAACATTTAGTTATATCATCTACTATTTCTGCTGTATGCATATTTCCGCTCCACAAATACTTTGTGACCTTTGATGCAGTTTTCTATTGCTCTATTCATTACGCCTAATTTGTTCATCAAAAGTAGATCTGTGTCTCATTTGTTTGGATAGTCTACTTTCAATCAGTGAGTCTTAGATTCCAGCTCTGCTCCATCTATCGAGGTTTGGGAAGCTAAATGGTACCATGAACTCACACAAAAACTGTGACTGGTGCCTGTATACTCATGTGATCGCTAAGAGTGGTTTGTTTTCTTAGTTTTAAGTCATTCCTTCTTGAACTTGGGTTTTTATCCTTTGGTCACGCTACAAATTTAATTTACGAGATATATACTTGTTTCACGATTTCTTAACTAAACTATGTCTGATCATTACCTGTCATTTCTTCTGATAAGTGAAATAATGTCAACAGGAGTAAATGCGGTTATTTGGAGTCAACCTCTAATATGGACGTAATTCTATCAAATCAAATGGATTCTGTTTATCACGTCTTTTCGGATAAAAAGCCTCAGTAAGACGCTTTGTGGGGGAGCGTGCACTGCATCATGTATTAACTTTCAAACTTGCCAAAGTTTCTACTTATGTGTTTTGGGTGTTATTTCATATTATTAACGATCTTCTTATGAACTAAGTATTACTTTTTCATCCTTTAGCTAGTTGTTTTTGTGTTGCTTTACAGGTGGTTTTCGTCAACGGTTGGATCTCACATCTGGAAGTCAGGATATTTCACAAAATATACGAACATCATCACATGATAATACTTCTGAAGCAGTTGACCCTAGTTGTTCTGCCAGCCCACTTTTACCTTGCTTTTATCTTAGTCATGCGGCTAGTCTAGCCCCAGTTGCTTTAACCCCATCTTCCACTAACACCTGCATTCCAAGACCCCATGAAAGTAATATAAATCAACCGTGTCTTAATAGTGCGTCAACTAATGAACTGATGCACCCTACTTCCTATTCACAAATTCCTTTTGGTAATAGTTTATCAAAACCTACAAATGTCACATACGTAAATCAGCCGATGTTTTATAACTCAGTGTTGTCAAATCAGTTTGCTCATCGTCCTGGTTTAAATCAAATAGTCCCTAAAGTCATGACCACAAATTCGGTCATTCCAGAGACTTCAACAGCAGTCTTATCAACAGTTAGTGGAGCTGTACAGCAGTCGTCTATGCCATCTGGTTCAAGTAAAAATGGTATTCTGAATACTACTCAACATATAGATCGTCGTCATACGGACAGCAATTATGACTACATTGTTAGACCTGGCGAAGTATGGATGGGACAGTATTTGATTAACAGTCTTATTGGGAAAGGATCTTTTGGTCAGGTAAGACTTTTAAATATCGTTATTTGATCTTCATATATTTTTTTTGTGTGATTCGTCGGTGATTGTGAGTGTAAACTATCTGTGAATGCATGATCTATTGAAATTTTAAGTGATTAAGGTCAGTGGATTAACGATGACCTAGACTAAGTAGTATAGTTGAGACAGGGTAGAAATCATACTGCGACTATTGAGTGTGATATCGTCATATCTTTCCTTATTTGGCTCTAGTTTGATATATGAACAGCAAGAAATTCATGAAGCAGGTGATTTCAGTGCATGAGTGGGTAGGCCGTATTAGTCAGAAAGGCACTTATGTGGCACTTTCGAAATCCCGGCTAAATGAACAGATAAGTCATCGCCTACTACAACTGTGACCAGGTAACCGTTTATTTCTAGCTAGCACAAACTTCAGATATCAAGAAGGACACTGCCTGACATGCCATACATTGACCTCTACTCAGCTGTGAATACAGATAGCCCACATTGCTATCAGTCATCTCTGAAGAGGGTCAGTGGGAGACTACCGCTTCTTTTGAAGTATGTGTTTGGACAGCAACCACGCGTTGGTTCGAACACGCATATTTCTGCGTCTCAATGGACGCAGAAAAGCCTTAGCAGCAAGACCATTACGAGTGCAGCTCGAAAATGAGAGCGCTAAGGCTGTTTTTAGTGAGATACTGGCTAAACAGTTATCGGAACAGAACACCACTCATCTAGAAGAAGCTTGGTGTCATATCCAGTCTGGTGTAAAAGCAGCGTTGAAGACCGTAGCCGACTCTCAAAGAGTGGTTAAAAAAGCCAGTAGATATCAGCAGCTTCTAAATTAATGGATGCATGGGAACACATCTCTTCAGGCTCTGAGTACATTGAGAAGCGAACGCAACTCAAATGTAGACTAATAAAAAGTCTACACTATGACCGCGAAAAGTGGTGGATAGTGAAGGCTAAAGAGATGGAAAAGGCAGCGGTGATAGATAACAGTAGACAATTATTTAGACATTAGGGAAACTGGGACGAAAAGGTCAACGATTAGTGGAACTATAGCGAAGAAGGACGGGTTTGTGATTCATTCACAAGGGAGATAATCAAATGCCCTCAGGGAGTAGGTCAATCTATGCACCTAACGAAGTTAAACAAAATTGGTGACAGCGCACATCCCTGACGGACAACACTTCTTGTCGTTACTTTGGATGAAAACTCTCCATAAACCCTTACATGGTTGCTTTAGTTCATAGTTTCATAGTCAGGCACTGCCATATAATGCATCGTGGTCGACAGAGTCGAATGCTGCCTTTAGGTGGGGAAAATGTGGCAAGTGTCAGCCACTGGTAAGTTTGCCTTTGTTCTGGAAACTGACGAGGAGTGGAGATTTAATTGATGCACTCTCGTCCAGATTTGAAACATGCCTGGTATTCTTGAGTTTACTGTTCTCGACCTCCAATTTGTTATTATTATATTTATTATTTATCCCTTGGGTTCCTAATAAAACATAGGGCTTCAGTAGCACGTCTCTTCTCTCCAATCTTTTGAACCTGTCACCACGACTGCCCACAAGCTCTCATTTCTTCCTCACACCATCTCCTCCGTGTCACCCACAGCTGAGACGCCCAACTCTTCGCTTCTCATCTGAATTCCACTCGAGGGCCTGGTGCGTGATGTCCCCAGTCGGCCTTCACAGTGAATGCCCAATCCAATCCATCTCCACTTCCTTCCACTGCATATTTCTTCACTGAGCAATAGGTTATTGGTTGGTTGGTCACCAGCTAGCCAGAGTTCCTTCTTGCTTATTCTTATTATTCTGCCAATCCATCTGATCTTCAGTAACCAGCATAGTTGGCAGTTGTTCATCAATGTCTGTAGTTTGTTGAAAATCCCTCTCGTAACGCGCCAAGTCTCTCAACCATCACCATCAATTGGAAGCACTGACTTCACGTTGGTGTTGAAAATCCGAATGTAGTTGACGATTTATGCATAGTGCACTGCAGTAGATCTCCACACTGGTTTCAGGCTGAATGCCTGTTTTGCTGTCTTTCCGATCCTGTCTACTTTGACATCAAAGTCGTCATGTGTGACTGTGCGACAGCCTGTAGTTGAAAGGATGCTGCCTCACCTAGATAGGTGAGAGAGGCTACTTGCTTTAAGTTTCTCCCATTCATGGTGATGGTGATTGTAGCTTCTTGTTGTTGTTGTTGTTGATGGTGGTGGTGTTGGTTGGGTATTTTCATCATCTCTGTCTTCTCTACGTTCACTTGAAGTCCCGTCTTCGCCGCCCCGCCCCACCCCACCCCTCCTCGCCTCTTCTGTCAACTTGTTAGTTTTTGCCAGTAGATCTTCGATTTTGTGTGACATTAGACATAAGTCATCATTGGCGAAATCCTAATCTCCCGCGGTCTTTTCATCGGTGCAGCCAGTGTTTGCCCCTCTCCTCACTCCTCACTGTTTGTTGCGTGACCCAGTCTAGTCGACCTTTAATCAGGAATATCATGGGTGATAATAGACAGCCTTATTTTACTCCTATCTTCACTTCACTTCACTTCAAAAGCACCACTGAGCTTCCCATTGTGAATTAGTTGGTTGGCATGTGGCGTCTTCATCTAGTTGTTGAATGAGGCTGATAAAAGTTTGTGTCACTCAGATCGTAGTGTTGAAGCAAACGCCTGGCAAATTACTTGTCGGTCGAGGCTGTCAAAGGCCTTTCCAGAGTCGATGAAGTTGAGGTTGAGTTGACTGGCATTCGATACTCTGTTGTATGATGATGCGAAGCATGGCGTTGGAATTTGGTCCGCACATTATTTGTACTTCCTGAATCCAGCCAGCCAGCCTGATGCGGACGTAGTTTTGAATCCAGTGCATCGTTTAGTCTCTGTCGAGGATGATGCGGCTTCATATTTTGCTTGCTTTGGGTGTACAGGGACAGCAGCATGATTCCGCACCAGTTCTTGCAAACACTTAGGTCACCCTTCTTCGGGAGTTTGACAACGTAGCCCTTCTTCCAATCAATGTACAGGTACCTTCCCTTCTTTCCTTCCTTCCTTCCTTCCAGACCTTCTGCAATAGTGGTGTGGTGTGAGCATGTCCGCTGTTGTCTCTGCGTCTGCTCTCAGTGCTTCTGGTGGGATTCCATCTGGTCGTGCATCCTGGTCCCGCATTTCAGTAGCCTTACGGCTTTCAGGACTTCGACTTTCGTTGGAGGATTTGTGTTCACTTGTAGAGTTGTGTGAATGTGCTGCAGGTGGTATTTTTCTGCACGAAGTGTAGGTGGTGGTGGTGGTGGTGGTCTATTCAAGAGCTTTTTGAAGTGGTCAGCCCATTGTTTCGTTTCACTCTCTTCTTTGGTAATTAAATTTCCTTCATCATCTTTTATTGGTTTCATGTGTGGTGATTTCTTCTCTGTCAGATAGTAATCTGGTTATTTGATACAATGTTGTCAGGTCTCTGTTGCTCCTACCAGCCGGCAGCCTGTTCTGCTTCACTTGCTTGCCAGTGTGTCGTGGAAGTGTCTTTTGTCTTTCCACACACTCTTCTTCACCTCTTTGTCCATTGTGGTGTTTTACACATTGTACTCAGTTCCTCTTCTCGTTGTGCACCTCTGCACTACACTGCACTGGTTCATCTTCTGTTTCACCATCCTCCTCTCCCTTCTCTATCAGCTTCCATATGTCCGTCGAGATCCATTCCTTATCTTCTTTCTTCTTCCTCCCTCCTAATACGGTTATGCAGGTTTCTTTCCACATAGCTTTCAAAGAGTTCCCGTGTTCATCCACACAGGTATCTTCAGGGATGTTGCTCGATATCTCCCATTTTTTCCTGATAACTAACTGGTTGACATGAAGATGTCTCCTGTAGTTTCGTCACTCAGTTCAGTTTCTGTTATGGATGTTGAACATGAACATGTACTGTGGTCTATCACCAACTTCCTTGAAGGCTTTCAACTAGGTTTTGAAGGTAGGTTCCTTGCACTAGATAGTGAGTGGTGTGAGCCTACATATGCTCCCCTTCTTGACCTTGTGTCCAGTAGGCTGCGTCTCCACTTTCTTCATATTGAGATGAAGTCAATGTGATTTTTGTTGTATCCATCTGGTGAAATCGAATCCATGTCACTCGCTTTGTGGATATCCTCGTGCTTGAACTGAACACAGTGGCTCGCCTCCAATCACCAAATCTTTGAATGCACAGAATTCTGCAAACAATTCTCCATTCTCATTCATCATTTCACCGAGGGTTTCTCGACCCATGGTTAGTTCTCTGCCTGTGTTGTCCACTCCCAGTTTGGCATTCATGTCACGCAACCCCACCCCACTTCACCCATTGCATTCAATTTTGATGTCGCCAACTGGAGTGGGGTTTTGTCCAGTGTTGATTGTAGTTGTCTGTAGAATTCATCCTTCTCTTCATCTGCATCATTTGTTGGTGCCTAGCCTAGCCTAGCGTAGCATTGAATGATTGTGACTTTCCTTCCTTCCTTTTCAGTTGATCCTGCAGGAGGAGATTGGTTCCCACTGCATGACAGAGAGAGGGAGAGAGGCTTCGATGCTCTTCGGAGGGGGACATCATGATAGCTACTCGAAAACTCAGTGTGCTGTGCTCGTGTTCGTGGTTGTCGTCTGGGTGACAATATTGGAGTAGATTAGATTATTGACTCCTCTCCAGTTGACAGTTTCGAGTGTCCACTTCCATACCATCTGCTTTCGCAAATTCCTAACACTTCAGTGCGATACCTTCTCATCTCCTTCGCAATCTGGGCAGCCTTGCTAGGTTCAAATATAGTGCGGACATTCCATGTCCCCACTTTTACTTTCGCTTACATCTAGAGAAGTGTAGACGCATCGGACTGGCCGACTGGCTTCCCTACGGCTTTCACCAGCTGGCGGCATTTCATTTTGTTCATGCTTTGCAGTTTCTTTAGCGATCAGATTGGTTTTGTGGAGTAGGGTTTCTAGCCGTATGCCCAACCTTCCCTCTTTACCCGGGTTTAGGGACCGGCTAGTAACTAGTGAACTAGTTAATTAGGCGAGGTTTGAGCTCCAATTTGGTGTTGTGTAATTATGGACTTGGAATCTTAGACGCAATGTTAATTGAACTGAACCCTAATTTGTTGTATCAAGAAGACCTCTCTCCTTATGATCTGGGATGATCAGGGTTTCAAACCAATCTAATTGAACTACTTATGGTTTCCATACGACATCTATTGTCTTTGTTGCTCTGCTGAGTATTTTTCTCTACATCCTTTAAAACTTCTGGTGGCAAACCGTTGGGCTCTGCTACTTTGCATAGTTTCATTTGTGTCTGGTTGGTATAAAACCTACAATCTTAGGCACTATGTTCATCAGAGCGGTTTCTTTGTGGTTTGTCGCTGGAAGATTTCCCTTTTTTTTGAAGACTAGGGCAATCAGCGATCGAAACAACTCAATGGGAATCATATTGGATTCCTATGCGCTAGCTAAAACTTAGGTTAATCTAACCAATATTCCTTTACCTTAATTCCTGAAATGTCTCTGGTACTAGGTCATCGGATTCTGCTTCCCGTCCCCATTTTTGTTTATTAACAGCCTTCTCTACTTCTGCAATGTCGTATCTCAATATTTCAATCAGAGTATGTCTAGATAGCGGGCAACGGACTACTTGAGCTATTTTTTGCAGTGTTCCGTTTATCGTTCCAGTTGTCTCCCTTGCAAGGGAATCTCGGACCCATTCTTCTTCTCTGTTGTCAGCCTAACCATTAACCTTTTTGACCCAGTGTCCTTGATCAATCCAAACGATTATCCACTATCGCCTGTCTCCGTTGGCTTTTCCATCTCTTTAGCTTTCACTCCCCAACACTGTTTTCGGTCATTGCGTACACTTTTAGTTAGTCTACATCTGAGTTGCTTCAGCATATGGTGCTTTTCTCTGTGTCGAAAATACATACTGGCTAGACAGAAAATTATCTGGGCGTAGCTGCTACTGGAGGTCACTATTACCTGTTCGTCCGACTTGGATTCCAAAAGTACCACCCATGCATCTTTCTGTCTAGCCTTAGCCTTCCTACTGATCTATTGAAACCCGTCGCTGCAAAGATCATATCGAGACTTTTGATTCTTCTATCTTGAGGTAATACAGCTTACGGTAGAATTCACCTGAACTACAGTTAGAGACTAAAAAATTACAACAGTGTGTCACTATCTTTCATAGGCCTTACTGTGCCATTCATTTGGACAGAGGTTAGACTTCGGATTTCAAGCAGTAAAGTTGTTTGATGAGGTTGTAAACCTTCATTGACTAAGGCGGCTTTGACAGGTGTAACGTATACCCAGCTACCATCTACATCCGAGAGTTAATGATTCTATTCGCTAGCACAAGCCAAAGTGAGTGAGTTTTCAACCGGAGTTTTATTGCTGAAAAGTCAGATGTCCAAACCAACCAGCAACCTCCATCGTAATGTTCTTTGTGCTTTGAGTACTCTGTACCAATGTAGAGACTACACGAAATTTCTGTCAAACTAAAGGAATTTTCACGATGTCATTATCTTTAGCACTCTGGTTTCAACGGTTGAACCACCGGTTCTCATCTTTGCCTATTCATAGCATTAGCCCACATACATTAAATGTGGTTGACAGTTTAACGTCTCTACTTACATACAACTACTGAGCCTTGTGGTTATGTTTGACTGTGTTCTTCAATCTAAGCATGACTTTCATTCTCTACCTTATCCCCTTAAACCTTAGTGGCAATCGTCGTCGTACTAAGTTTACTTCCTAATATTTTAAGGATATATGATACTTTTTAATGGTGTCCAATTCGTCTTAAATCATTTTCCCCATTGAAATTTTTCTGAAATGCAGTCTTCAAGGAAAGAATCCCTTGCAGCCTTCTTTGTTCACCAACAGATTTATATTTTGATAGAAATTAGAGTCCCTCTAATGCAATGAATTCAAGTTCCCAAATCACCTTATGTAATTTCCATATTTGAATCCAAATCCTGATAAACCTGTTCCAAATGACTCCTTAGTTATCTAGAAGCTAGTGAAAGTTGTAGCTGAATATTGATTTAGTCCCATAGTGTCAGTCTTCCAATAGTTCTAAATTCTTTCATAAAAACGGACGTAAATGTGTATTGCTAAGAAGGTCTAGGACTGAGAGAACCAAATATTAATGATCTGCTTTTTCCCAACTTTACTTGGCTTACATGAAACTGATGAAACTCTGCCTTCATGTTCTCTCCAAGTTCCTAACCTATCAATCTTAAAATTCGATCTATTCTGTTTTAGAATATTCATATTTAGAGGAAAAGTTATAAATGCGTCAAAGTTTAGGTAATCAGCGTTGTAGGATAATGTTTTAACGAAATATGGCCTACTTATGTACTGAGTGTCTCAGATCGTCAACATAATATTCACTGCTATAAAACTGCCTCCTTCATAGACTGTTCTACTTGGTTTGTAAATTTTCTTTACATTGTGTTTATTTTTCCCTTACATCAGGTGATGAAAGCTCATGATTGCATTTCAAATGAAGATGTGGCTATTAAAATAATCAAAAATAAACGTGCATTCACTAATCAAGCTCAGGTAGAAATTCGGCTGCTGCGTGAGATGAATCATTACGTCGAAGAAGCTGCAGCAGCTGGGAAGGAACCACCACCAGGATCTAATTTGATTGGTAAATTTTCGCTATCTACACGATAGTTTTTATTTTTCAGTTTTATTTCTTTACCAACTTAGTAAAGACTAGATCGTATACCGGATTTTTGATAAATAGTCTCTTAAAGAATATTCTTGTCAAGAAAAATGTACTCCAAGGAAATTTCGTAAAGTTTCTGATTTGGAATCAAACATATCTAAACATTAAAGCTTTAAAGCTTAGAATAGCAGTGTTTGATCTAATAATAAGGTGAACAACCATCTATAACATAAATTACACTAGTTTTAAATCTTACACATACTCACTTCAATTTCTTAGCTATTAACCGACACTAATGTGAGGCATTGGATTTTTACACTTATTTGATAATATTACTTCCTTTTATGAATAAATTGAATGGAGGTCACAGCACATTGTGAACTGACAGAGGTAAGAAATATGGACCATTGGATTCCAACCCAGTGACCCAATGCAACGTGCTGGCCGCTGAACCTGAATGTCCTGGGTTCGATGCCTGACGGGGTCATAGGTGGGCACCGCTGAGGAGTCCTCCACTAAGACGAAACAGCTGTCTAGTGCTCTCAGATCTTCAGTACATCTACCTATTTGTATAATTACTGGCAGGAGTGTGACTGGTGAGGTTTCTAGCCGTAAATCAGAAGCCAGAGGAGGATAAGCCGACCTCGGTCACTACTGGCGTCGTTGTGATGTTTGTTTCGCCTTAGAAAGTTGCATGTACAACGCATCGGTGTGAACAGTTCTGTGCACCTGTAAAATATGACCTCAAAACTGGAGATGCTCGATGTTCGTTATCCGCATAGGATTGGTAATCTTCATTTGGAAATACATTGTAAGTATTTTTGAGATGTGGCTGCTTGTGTTTGGGGGTGGTTAAGGTCATTATTCATTGAATGAAGTCATCTGGAAACACCGGCTTTAATGGCTCAAATCTGCGTTGTTGAACAGTATGAACAGAATAATTTAAATTCACCTCATTTCATCACTTTACCATCAGCTGCTTATAACCTGCGATCTTCACATGACAAACTATGATATGTTTAACGTACTTGAAAAGGGTGCTTGTGGTTATGATGAACCAAACATCAGCATCATGTAGTGTTCCAAGATTGTCATTTAAAAGAATCGTTTTCAGTAGTTCATAGTTGTAGCAACGAAATATCGTTAGAAACAGTTTATATTATCCAAGTAGTAGACAATGGCTGAGAACCAATGTCAGTGGCGCAGATGTATACGCACATTATCCTCAACCTAATGCTATACGGAATCTCACCATTTTCTCGTTCTTCCTTTCTCTCGTTTCGTACTTTATATTCCTTTCGACAGAATTTTCTTTTCTTCACCTTCTACTTCACTACCTTTTTAATGATATGTACTGATATAAGGTGTGGCAACTCGAATGGTTACGCAGTAATGCCTAGTCCTATGTTGATTTGGATAGATAAAAGCAGTAGACAGGTTAGTCACCATTAAAAAAAGTTTGTGAAGGACTGATTAAAAGTTAACTTAACCTAACGGGAAGCAGTATTTAGAAGTAGGTTTATCATGTTACTAAAATGCTGGCGATTGCTTTCTTTTGAAGAGGTTATAATGCGGAGTTGTGGGAACGAACGAACGAAAATACTTAGCGATTAATAGTCAAGAGTTGAGGCGGTTCAACGCAAGTAATTCACAAAGAGAAATTAAAATACTGGAAACCAGATGAGTTTATAGTATCTTGAACTGCAAACGTTTATTGGTGAAAACGGACTCTATTTATATAGCTTATAGTAACCCTGAAAGGCAACGAATAATTAGCACATTTAAAGAGTCAGGAACCAATCAGAACTAAACCGGGTCACACGAAATATGACCCATGCGCGGGAAAGAGCGCGAAGTAAACCAGTTCAAATGTACCCAGACTGTAAATATGGAATATAAAGGATATGGACATCCCTAACAGATTGTTTATTCAATGAAATATTGTTGTTTATTGGATGGTATTTTTAGCAGGATTTATCGCTCATAATCATGTAGAAATGGACAATAAATTACACTCGAAATGTCGTCTAGTAAATAATACTGTTTCACGATGTGCTGTACTATGCTAAATAAACAATTTAACTAGTCGGAAGGAACGCGGCTGCCCACTGAAAACCTTGGGTGATAGTCGCGCTATATCGTGAATTGACAGAAGTTAGAAACTGTGAACCACTGAACTCTGACCTAGTGGCTGGGTGGTTAGCGCGTTCGCCGTGAAACCTGAAGGTCCTAAGTTCAATCTCTAGCCGGGTCATGGGTGCGTACTGCTGAGGAGTTCCATTATAGGACGAAACAGCTGTCTAGTGCTCCCAGGTTTTCAATGGTTCCCCAACTGATGTCAGTCCGTGATAAATACTACCTCTAAATTAAAGTCCCCATTCATTTCAAAAATACATAATGTGAAATTGCTGTTTCTCCTCAGTGTAAGTGCTTTGATAGATACACAAATTGACACATGGTTTTTAAGTATAATAATTAATGCTTGATAGGACTAACAAACACATCCTTTGGTGGGAGTTAATCAATTTGCAGCAACAGCTCGATGACGATATTCGGTGCTGAATTTCAATCTGAACGTATCTACTTAGTGGAAACAATACCTGCCGTTTTGATTCTAATAATTATTGGACTACTCCCAATCTTTAGCGGTTTTTGGAACATCTTCACGATTAACTCTTCTACTGGTCAGGATTCTTAAAGTAACGAACCGTCTAAACTTTCCCAACATTCATAGTGGGAAAAATATTCTGAAAAAATGATTAAGCGAGAGACCAATTTATCTATTGGCTCGGAGCACGACTTACCTGCAGTTGTTCCAAACTGCATGTTCTCTAGTGCTCTGTATCGAGTAATCTTTTCAAATAAAAGCTACCATGCATCAAATACACTTCTGGTATGTCGCTACTTATGTTAATATGAAAGATGCCTGAAGCCTATGTATAACTGCTGCCATTTGGACTATTAACCGTTTCAACGCGTATTTCCATCTATTACTACAAGTAATCCTAGTGAAATTAATGTATATTATTTTTAAACATAACATGGTGAACTGGAAATGCGTTGATTTAGACACTCACCATAGTTATATAACTGTGGATACTTACTGATAGTACTGATAGTATAAATTGGTCCTTTGTGGTTAGCAAAGCTAAAAACTGAAGAACTTTCTAGTGAATGGATGTTTATATTACTAAATAAGAAATTATGCAGATGGACCAACAACGTCGACTGGTTATAGCGCATACTTCGAACATGGAGCGCTTTTGTTATTGATAATGCAACCTATCTGTATAATGGCAGATGGAAGTTCATGCCTGTCTCATGATTTGCAGCAAGTTTTAATAAGGTTATGAACATCAATAACTTGCTATATGGATTATACAATACCAAATACTATTCTGTAAACTTCAAGAATTATCAATTTAACGGTGCTTGTAAACTGGTATCACTCATGTTATTATATGAGAATAAGAATTCTTATTGTCTTTATTTTGACTCTGGGCTGTAAAGTGGAATTTTCTTTTTTGTCTCATAACTGCGATCTTCTGATGTTTTTAATAGTTTAACGACTTCCCCACTGTATTAATCGGCACCAATAAAATCTTGTAGATTTTTCGACATATACCAATGTAATGATGCCTTTAAACTGGCTTCTCTCATGTTAAATTACTAATGTGAGAATATAATATTTATTTACTGTTTATGACTAATGCGACATCCACTGTTGGTTTTTTGGAGTTGGAGTGATTACTATACAGACTTCTTATTAAACAATATTTCTTGAATTATAGTTTTTTTTCTTATTCACCTGTATGTATTTGGTAATGACTCTTAATTAAATGGTAAATAGTCTCCTAGGCATTTTTAAACAATCATCAACTCTTCTTTCAACTTATTCACAGCATAAAATATTGTTTATAACTCACTATATAAGACTTTTTTAAATTGAGAACAGTTCATATCATCCTGTTAAACGACTATTAGGAGCGTAGTTATCTATTCTACTTGAGAAAATGAATACAATATCATCTTCGCAATGTTAACTCTTTGTTTATGTTTAATGATTAGTTTGTATTATTAAGGTAGTATGTGTAGTATAAATTGTTGCTTACAAGAAATATCAGAAGTATATTCGACACATGATATCGTTTCTTTGGTTATACCATCTAAGCTTGTATTAAAATAGCCTTTAAATCTATCCATCAATATAACTATGCTTGTTAATTATTATTATTATTATTTTTTCTCATTTTATTTTTTGTCAGTTCGTTTACTCACTCATTTCACGTTCAGAGGTCACCTGTGTTTAGTATTCGAATTACTATCCTACAATTTATACGACTTATTAAGAAATACAAATTTTCATGGTGTCTCCTTGGGGTTAACAAGAAAATTTGCTCAACAACTATGCTGTGCCCTAGATTTCTTATCTAGACCAGAGTTACAAATTATACATTGTGATTTAAAACCAGAGAATATTTTACTGGTTAATCCTAAGCGTTCTACTATAAAACTGGTGGACTTTGGAAGTTCTTGTCATATGAATGAAAAAATCTACCAGTATATCCAATCCCGTTATTATCGTTCACCTGATGTTCTCCTAGGCTTGGATTATACAATGAGTATTGATATGTGGTCGTTAGGATGTATCCTTGTTGAACTACACACTGGGGAACCGTTGTTTGCTGGACAAAATGAGGTGAGTTTCTGCTTTTTTTTTCCCCTGCTTATTACTGATAAATTTTTGCTTGATAATATAACATTGCTGTCATATTCCATCTCGTTTATAATGATCGCTGTATTACTTATTGAAGCATGATCCGTTAATTTTTCATCAACCTAACTTGTACTCAACATGCACTATAAAAATTGTTAGTACGTAAAACTCAGTGGCCGCATACATATTCGTGCATTAAGCTATGAACTAAATCTAATGAACTAGGTGTAAATGCTGACAACCTTTAGGGTTGTCTGAATAACACTTATTTCTCCCAGCGTACATGTAAAATAATGCTCTACGACTCTTCTTGCTATAAATACTGATTTCATGGAACTCTCCTTTACCAAACTTGTATCTTAGTAGTATAATCATAATTCTCTTGTATTCATCTCATTTTTCATTTATTATTGACACTTTTTTTGGGTGATTCATTGGCATGGCAAGTGTTATTGTAGGATCAGGGTTTCCCACCGATTGCCCCCCACCATCTAACACTGTAGCTTCCCATCACTTCACCCAGTGGCCACATTGCAAAACTTGATCGATAGACTTTAATCATTACTAATTACTAAGGGTCAGACAGCTACATTGATTACTTACTGGTGGCCAATTCATGTACGTAATCGAATCTTACAGGCGTCTTAGTAGCTTAGTGGTTCAGCATTAAGTGATGCAGGCTCGAATTGCTGAGGCAACATTAGTTCTCTCATGGTCGCAAATTCGCCTAGCTGCAGAGTGCCAACAGACACGAAATTTGAAGGCAGGGCTTCCTGCCGACTGACTTCCACCATCTAACACCGAAATAGTAAAGTATGCTTGGACAGTTTTTAAAATATACCTTCTACAAGTTTTGACTGGTAAAGTGGAAATTCTGTAGGAAACAGAATATTTCACAAGAAGAATGAATGAGATGCGTGACATCAAACTAGACCAAGGTGTCTAAGAAGATAGAGAATAGTGGTTAGTGAAATGTTAGTTGCGTGTGGGTAGGACTACTGTGGTGAAGTTACGAAGAAGTTCCAGGTTAATTATCTAAGTCTATGTTTCACGAATAGCCGGATGAAATTCCTATCATCATCATGAATAGAATTTCGTGTATCAAATCGATGGCCTTGCACTTATCCATTATGAAACTGGATACATTTTTATCATAAAATAATAGTATTTATTGGAGATATATATATCTAGGGTTTTTTAATACTTCAGGTGGAGTATGATATTTATTCTGCATAGATCTGTTAGCATAGGCGGTAAAAAAAAAAAGAGAATATGATAGTACCCTATCCTACTATATATCAAATTATCCCAATTAAACTGTACCTATTGATTTTTTGTTATTGGAGCTTAAATTTCTATTTTTCGTTTTTCTGTGTTATAATCATGTTTATCATTCTTGTTCCCTCTACTTTTTGTATAGTTCTTATTTAGGCTTTAAAATATCCCGTTAGTTTGATTTGTTTCAAGGATATTGTGTGTAATAAATATTCGCCTAACTTTTAACTAATATTGTGGCACTGGTTTTGAATCTTCTACAGATCCGCAGTATTATTTGTAGTCACTTTCTTTTTTATCAGTACATACCACGACTGTCGACATTAAACTCGGTATGATTTTTTGATGTAGCAGTACTATCTAATCACACTCAGTGGTGGTGGTATGCCATTAGACAAATATTAATAAGCTACCCATACTGTTAAAATGTACTAATAAAAATTAGTAGTGAGACTGCATTATTCTGTTTGTTCTGTCAACTGCCTTTATAACACAGAGTATTTATCAAAAACAAACTATATTGAACATTTTATATCTTTGATTTGAAATAGGTTGGACAAATGATGAAAATTATAGAAGTTCTAGGTATGCCCCCTCGATTGTTACTCGAAAAAAGTCGGCGTTGGCATGTATTTTTCGGACGAACAGTTGATCGGACTTATGTGCCTAAAGTAAGCTTATCGAATATGTGTTATTGCGAACGAAGTTAGTGTAAATTTTATTTGTTTTGAAACTAATAGTTATTTCGTTTTCAACATATTTTCCCACTACTATTCTGTTCAGCATATCTTTCATTTTTGTAAAAGATAATGAAGAAAGTTACTGGTCAGGAGGTTGACGCTTATCTGCAGATTTCACTGACCAGGTAAAGTGATCTAATTACCGGATGTTTTTCTTGACATTGGGCTGGAACTCATCGGTGGTACACCCAGATGACTTCTGTGTCATCCAACCAAATCGTTCAAACTGATTAGGTCTTATTAACTGGCTTCTATGAAACAGAGAACAATATAATCAATGGTCAATTTACAAACTGGATAATCCATACCTGGTACTTTTCTTGAAGTTAAGGTCACTCTAAGTTGACTAGTAAGATTCATAGGTTAAAAGGAGATACCTTGTAACTACTTTCATTATTCAGCAGCATGGTTCTTCATTCACTTAGATTTTTGGTCTTGAGTGAATGGTTTCTTATGACAACCCTGTTGGTCATTTGACAACTACTGATCTGTTGCCTGGCAAACCTGCACAACCGTTTAAGTAGCCAAACCTCTCATCATTAAATCAAGGTGATGAACAAATCAGCAAGAAAGTAGTCAAAGTAATAGAAAATCGTCACAAGAGAACACCAAGAAACGAAAGAATAATGTAATTCGGCGCAAAGATTAAGATCGAGCTAATGTATATATACAGCTGTCCCATGGCGATCAATTCTGTGCCACATCACCTAGTCTCCAACCACTGGTCTCCATTGTCACTCAGACACCTACTACGAAATTCACATTTCCTCTCTACTCGGATCAGCGATTTCGTCACTCACTGACCCACCACCATTGCTCCCACTTCCCAGGTAAGTAAAGCAGAGTAGTCAACGCACTCAACCATTTCACTCTCTGGTGTTAGACAAGGCATCAATAAAGACCAGTCATGGAGTAACAATGTATATTCAGATAGTGAGAAACTCATCTGAAATTGTCACTCAAGGTGTTTAGTAGGCTGCATCTCCATCTGACAAAACTATGTCATCTGAGTACTCAAAGCCTCGTTTGAGAAAGTCAATCGCTGTCAAGCCAAACGATGAGAGGAAGACCTCCACAACAATGTTTTTTTGGTAAATTTGAATAAGAATGGAGAGAGTAGACATCCTTAGTGGACACCACTTGACGTTCACCATAAACTCTGACATGCCCACAGTTCGAATACAAAGTCTTCAGCACGGTGATGCACTTGTCTGTTATACGTTTCAGTAAGAGACTACTATAAGACATTCCGATCGAAGGAGTTCATTGTCGCCTTTAGATTGAGAAACGCAGAGTCGGGTACCGATAAATCTGTTTGTTTTACGGAAAGTAGTTAGAGCTGAGTATGGCAGGTCTGAAGCTTGTCCGATTTCCTCGTGTTCCTTTTTTTCTAGCTTCACTTAGGCGTCGAATGACTACAGAACCATGTTGGGCGGACTCATCCTCCTGTGGTTATCATGAGAGGACTTCTCGCCTTTCTTGAAGACTGGCACAATCAATGATTAAGGCTAAACTGAATCATACCTGATTCCATAAGCTGTCTGATGCTCCTCTTAATCTAGCCTGTAATCTTTGATTGCCGTTTTCAAATACCTTTAGTATTTAACCCTTGTTACCTACTGCCCCCCTTGTTTCAGGTTACCTATGATGTCAATTTCTGCAAGATCCCCATCTCAATACGCAGTTCAAAATTTTACCGGATAGTTGGCAATAGAACAGTAGCTGAAGACCAGTTAAACTATTTTTCTTAGTACTTTGTCTTTTATTCCAATTTTCTCTTCTGTTTGTGGATCGCAGATCCACCTTTCCATATTTTGGTGACTAACCGTCGATGTTTTTGTTTCAGTTTCTTTGTTATATGTCCTAATGGTTGGTAACTGTGATCCTGTTGACACCTAGATTAGAAGGTTGGGTAACTACTTAGTTGTCAGAAATATCAACATGGATACTGCGAATCGTTCACATTTTGTAAAGTGATCATCTTTCGGTTTTTAATCAAAGTCTCTTTATACAGTCATCGTCCTTCTTTCCACTCCACGAATATCTTTTTTCCGCTCATGATACAATGTAAATGATGTAAAACTTTTGGATGCAACGACTTAAACTATTTACCTTTCTTTGCAACAATATAGCTACTGTTTCTTAGTTCATTTGAGATATCAAATTTTATGTAGTTTTCTGACCACATATATAGGTTTGTGCGATACAGAAATACAAGCTTTATCGTTGCTAGAGAGCATATATCATTTTCATAAATATATTTCAGGGTTTATCTATGATTTAGTAGTCCCTCTTTGCGCTAACTTGATACAATTATATGGAATATGAGTAGATTGATCGTCCATTTGTTTCCTGCAAAGCAGAATTTCTCACTTGCTGTTATTTTTAGTATTACACTACTCATAAGTAGGCAAACGGCAAATGTAAGCATTATAGAATCCCTATCGTTGCAGCTTTTACTGCAGTCTTCACTAATACAGAAAGCCTATTTTTCCGTCTAGTTGGTTGTTAAGATTGACTTAGTGTTTTAATTTCTTGTGTCGGTCTTTTTTTGTCATTTATTTAGGCTGCTTGTCAACAACCAGGTAGCCGGCGTCTTTCCGAAATCTTAGGCGTCAATACTGGTGGTCCACGTGGCAGACGTTTGCATGAATCTGGTCATACTCCTATGGATTACAGCATTTTCTTGGAATTTGTACTTCGGATGCTGACTTTCGATCCAGTTCGACGCATTAGCCCAGCTGCAGCCTTAGCTCACCGGTTTTTTCGACGTCCGAATACTAATAATGTTTGTGGAAACTCACCACATTCAGGTCAATCTGAATCAAACTCAAATGCTCCAGGTTTGTTTTATTGAGTATCATTCAAATTAGGTTTTTCACATTCATTTTATTAAACATTAGTTTTCTTTGCTTAAAAACATCAAATTATGTCACTGATACATACGTATCACTTACTCGATTAAATTATTGCGGGAAACTGATCACGATGGGATTACACCAATAGTCAATATTTCTTAATAGATCTTGTGACTTGTTTGCATGCATTAATATTTGTGTGATCCATTCATTTGCTAAATTTTCACTTGTACACTTAATAAGTATAAAGGAGAAATAGTTAAATGTTTGAAGCAATTCATTGACGTCAGTTTTTAATCAATCATACATCATAGCGTGTGACGTAACCATTTCAAATATTACTTAGTATAATATGACAACCTATTTTATATATATGTAAAAAAGAAACTCCCCCAACTTAAATGTAAACAGCATGAGCCTCAATTTACTAACGTCATACTGGCAAGAAAAATTCCTGTGATAAATCTTATCGAAGACTATGTAAATATGACGGGCAGACAGACAGAAACACATGAACCATGAAGTAATTGTTGTAACAATGGAGCAGCTATGTAACACTTAATGGTGATGGTAGACTGCCGTATCACTGATAAGTTCTTCTGACATGATCTATTTAAAATCTTATGAAATTGATGAAGTATGCCTCATCATCAATTATAATGATGATAATAATGAAACCCATCTTTTATCATCATGGATTGTGCTTTCAATATTTCTAGCCATGTTATTTTTATGTATGTTAAACAGATCCTCCACCTTCTACCTTTTGTCAGTAGTCTATGTGTAAAACCTTCTTTTTGCAATTCAATAAGCTTCATTGTTTTTTAGATATGTTAAAAATCTTTTTATATCCGTCGCCGTTCTTGTATTTCAGTTTTAGTCTGTCCACCTCCAAATCGATGGGCTAATTTCATTGATAACACAACATCCAATCTAGTGCATACTCATTTAAGTAATTTACGAACGCCTGGAAATCTCGGTGTTGGACTAGTCAGTCATCCGAATGAAGTTTTAGAACATATACGAATACAAAATCAAGCATTGCGAACTGCAGTTACTGGATCTGTTATGGTATCACAGCCTCGTTCAATCCCAGTCATATCTAATGATGCTATCATAGCGCAAATTAGTGAACCGCTTTCACCTCTTATTTATGGATCTCATGGACCGTTCCATGTTCATTCTAATGCAGGCCCACTACCTCTTCAGATTTCCCGTGTGCATCCAGCTCATCTTGTGCAGAGTCTTCATTCAATCCCAATGGTTAACCAACCGCATACTATGCCAAACACAACTGTCTCAACCACACTCACTGATTCAACCCGATTGCACCATCCTTATTTTATAGAATCTGGGATGTATGCTTATCCTCAACAACCTATGCAATTAACGTGGATTGGTGGTTTAGGTGAACATAATTCAACTACTTCCAGTGCACATCTTGCATCTCCTGACTTATTGAACGTAGCCTCTGCTTCTCCTGGGGTTTGGCGTTGAATTATTATCTGAACTACAAGACCCTACATTTTCATGTTTGCTCATGTTTTCAAGTCTCTCACTAATTCCTTTTCGCTTCAAATAGCCGTTCTGTGATCCCAAGTCTTATGTTAATAACCGAATCTATGCATTAATTCAGTTTTTACTCATGTATATATATGCAAATGCATATATGTAGTTATACTTAGCTCTGTTGATATGGTCACACTTTAAAATCTCCTACCGGTTTTTAGTGTACAGTCACTGTTGTCCGTTCCATTTGTGTTCTATATTTCCGTTGGGCTCTTGAAAAAGTTATCCTTGTGTATTTGGTATTATTTTTTTCATAGCCATTCTCATACACTCTTGAGCTGTGATTTTACTGTAACGCACATCAAACTAAACAATACGATTACCCGCAATCTAAACAAAAGCACTATCCCCTTATTTTCACTTTCTGTCAGCATGCCTTTCAGCACCATTTTCATGACCTATGCACAGCGTATTTAGCTGCGAGCAATTTTTAGGTTATGACTCTGAATATCACTTGTAAACGGTTGGTATGCTGAAGACTAACACTTAGTAAGCATTAATTTACCTGAATCAATTTCATCTTTCTATTTCTCTGCAACTTATCACATAGTATGGTATGTATGTATCTGTATACTTGCGTATTTTATGAAGGGTCTGAAGTAGAACATTCTATTTCAGTACTCTCAAATCTCTATAATTGCTTGTATTCTGTATTATTTATGTCTTAGTTGTGCTCTGTGCTTAACTCAGTCGGTTATTTGATCCATCGTTTCTTGTTTTGTTCTCCTTCTTCTGATTTTGTTGTTATCAGTACTAAAGCACACACACACATATGCGTTAATCATCCACATTCCTGTTGCGAAAAAAAACTAGATCTCTTAAAACAAAAAGCAACACTTTCGTGATATGTATCTTCTCTCTGCTCATCATCCTCCATCTCCCTTATTCCCTGTTGTGTATATCCTTTAAATCTGCTTCCCATTTTCTTGAATTACTTTCCATCTAATGATATATATGTACGGGAGTACTAGTTGATTTTTGTGCATGATAAAAAAAGAAATGCTTTTACTTGTGGTGATTTTCTTACATTGCTATTTCTAATTATTATTCTTATCATAAAATAATGTTGTTCTTTCCTTGCAAACTTACTAAAGTATCCCTTTTATTAAGCTGCTAATTATTTCCACTATCTAGATGTAATGGTCGGGCTTATATACCACTGTAACCTAACGAGTTATGCCCGTGAAGCGCTTTCTCTCTCGAGTTTCTATTAATCCAGTAAGTATATTGGATGGACAAAAGCAGTTACTGTCATAGTGTAAATCTTTACGTTATGCCAGGGGTCCGAGGGCGAAATCGTACTGCCGGCTGAATGGGCTGTGACAGCAGTAAGGTGTTTCCCTCAGATAACCAGCAGCACCATACTGATCCTATCTTCCCTATGGGAAGGAGGGTTACGGAAGGTCAGTCCTGAAATTGCACACTCCCAGCACTCCATGGCATGCTGATTTCATGGGTTCATAGTCGAAGTCGAATGTAATAAGCTTAAATCCCAAACCTATACAAGGGTTGTGTGTGATTGACCTGAAGGAGATGTCCTTCGGGCTCTACCATCATGCACTAACCCTTCTTTTACGGGTACCTCGAGAAGAAACAGCCTCCCATGGTGTGGGCAGCTGTGAATTGTCACCCATCCTCACAACCCTGTCAGCACTCAAGTTCCGTCAGATCACTGACCACCTTCCATATCTTCCTTCATATTTCTCGATCAACAATCGTATACCATCCCTAATTTCTTCCAGTTCTACAGGTCTTGACAACAATCTAAGTTCATAGAACAACACCATTGATCTCTTGAGACCGCGTTCCAAACTACACGCCGATGCTTTCAATTTCCGTACCCTCTGTCATATCAGTCACCAAGCTTCGCTAGCCGAAACTCTTGTATCTTGAGACATGAATGTGTTCTGTATTTCTGAAATGCACACCGAATCCAAGTGTGGTTAGCCACGTATACTCATCCGGCCAGTATAGTGTTACCACAAAATTCACTCTACGCGTTTTCAAGGATTCAATAATTAGTTCTCTCAGTCTTACAGGTGTGTATGTATAGCACTAAGTACTAAGGCAGAAAGTGCACTGCAAAATTGGATCCCAGTTGACAGTCCCTTATGTGCTGTTTGGCTAAACGGCGCAGGGAGGAATAATGAGACTTACCGTTGTCTCTTTGTAATCTCTACTTTACGCACTCACTGATTGCATTTCTGATGAATTGAAGGATGAGTTGTACCAAAGACTGTCTAGCCTCCTTCTGAAAGCCAAATGTTTAGACGTGGTTGTTACAGATGATTTCGATGCACAAGTGTGTAGGATAAGTCAAGTAGAAAGACTTTTGGGATCTCAGCCGAACAAACAGATAACAGTCATCACCTGCTACACCTGTGCTCAGACACCCATTAATTTTTAGCCCGCATAAACTTCATACATAAAGAGGAATATTGTCTGAAATATCGTCCACCGAGCTCAACTCAACGGTGGGCATAGGCAGACCACGTTGCTTTCAGTCATTGCTGGAGGGATTTGTTTGAAGATTGTCAGTCTTTCTAGAATACACATTGGGATGGAGACCAAGCGTTGGTTCGAGTGAGTGTATGTCTGCGTCTAAATGGATATAAGAAAACTTTAGCAGAAGGACTACCGAGTGCAGCTCGGTGATATGAATATTGGAGTTACTTTCTACAAGAAACCGCGTAGACAGTGATCAGAGCAAGGAAATATCACTCATCCCGAAGAAGCTTGGCGCTATCTCCAATCTCCTGTAAAAACAGAGGAAAAGATGTTAGGAAGGGTCAATCGATCTCAGCAGCTTCTTAAGAAGTAATGGGATCGCGTGAACGCATTCTTGTAGGCTTCGATCACCATCAGAAATGGAAGCAACTCAATGTAGGTTGATGAAGAGTCTTCTCAATGTCCGTGGGCAGTAGTGGGTAAGGTAGACCAAGGAGATGCATAAGACAACAGCAGTACATTGACAGTAATTTTTAGACTTATCAAAGAAAAGGGCGAAAAACTATGGTTAGTGAGACTGTAGAGGAATAGCATGGGTTTGAGATTCACTTGCAGGAGACCTGAGTGGAACGACGGGTGAAACAGTTTAGCTGGACTCCAGCTACTACTATGTTGTCCGTCATCCATTCCAATTCTGGACCCCCAACTCTTGCGGAAGTTAAGAAGACTGTAAGTAACCTGAAACAAATAAGGGTAGACGGGCTAGTGCTCGAGGTACTAAGGCACAGTGGTAAAGGATTATTGGTCAAGGTAACCAGCGTTAGCTAGCGTATGTGAATTAGACATGATCCACTCTGTTTGAAGGCCTACAGTACTCAAATAACATAGTTTTGTCAGGTGGAGATGCAGCCTACTAAACACCTTGAGTGACAATTTCAGATGAGTTTCTCACTATCTGAATATACATTGTTATTCCATGACTGGTCTTTATTGATGCCTTGTCTAACACCAGAGAGTGAAATGGTTGAGTGCGTTGACTACTCTGCTTTACTTACCTAGGAAGTGGGAGCAATGGTGATGGGTCAGTGAGTGACGAAATCACTGATCCGAGTAGAGAGGAAATGTGAATTTCGTAGTAGGTGTCTGGGTGACAATGGAGACCAGTGGTGGAGACTAGGTTGATTGTACGGAATTCGTCTGTCCCTGTTAGTGAATGGGCTGCTTCGCAAATGCCTCAATATTAAGTGGTAAGGTTAGTTGGGTAGTAATCATCTTTACACAGGAGTTTTAATCACATATGAGACAAATAAATGCACATGGTAACCGAGTCTTCATGTCGTAGACTGCTTGTTTATTTCTGATTGTCTACATTAAAAATCATCCGTCTCTACTCTCATATTGAGCATAATTGCATTTGCTAACCTCTTGCATGATAAGCAGCTGTCTTAGTCAACCTATTAGTATTGTTTGTAGCACTATATTTTAAATTATGGTTGTTAGTTCTAAATGTAAAAGTGTACTGTTTTCACAATATGGAATTTTGAAGTACTACTAGAATTTGCGTGTGGTAGTGAGTAGAAGTGAGCTTCTAGACCCACGGAAGAAGATCAAGATTTGTATTATTGAATTTCCAAGCATATGGATAACTCAGTCAGACAAAAATGAGCGTCTAAGCACATGTTCTTAAAAAGGTGTGATGTTAGTCACACTAGGATATCCAATTAGCCTGTAATTTTGGTTGTGTTAACATGTAAGAAGTCAGAATACCGTGAAGCAATCAACTATCACGTGCTTACTTGTACTTGGTGTGAAATCCACTTGACATAAAGACAAAACGAATTTGCTCATAGTATAAATAATATGAACGTTCTTGGTTAGACCCACTGGCTAGATTTGCCAAATCAATACATGTCCTTACGCTCTCTAGGACGGGTTCAGTCGAATGACTTCTGAGTTTCACTGGAAGCCTGTAGTTTCGTCGGTACTCCTCAGTATTATCTTATGTAGAAGACATATGGCATTTCCTAGTATTCAACACCCTTTTTTAATGAAAGCTTACAAACTGTTCTTTTTAGTTAAACGTTTTAAACTCTCCGATTACATGTAGAAGCGACTATTGAAAAAATAATTTCTTTGAATACATTTCGAAAACACGATGTCACCAATAAAATACATGGGACTGGTGTGAAAATTTAAAGAATAAGGAATTTATTATTGCTACTGTTAGAAAATTTAGCACAAAATTTTATTTCAGTTGGAATAGTATTTTTCTTAAATATGCATTTGTAAGCTTTTAGATTGGTAATCTCTCAACGTCAACAACTCGTCATGGTCTGCAGACGTTTATGTGTATTTTGTGATATTCATGAGATTTTTTGGTAGGAATCCGCACTCATTTAATTAGTATTCGAAAATCTTATTGCATAGGCGGTGTTTGTGTGGGCGTTATGAAAGTCACCATTCATTGAGCTAGGTCATCTAGAAACGTTAGCAGATATAGTTCAAAATCGAAACTAATTCATATAATGTTTCAGTTTTCTTGTTTCTCGCATTATACAGAGGTAAAATAGAAAAACAGTGAGCACATTTTTGAAAGTATATTTAAAAACTGCTTCTCTTTTAGCATATTTCTGTTCTTTCCTCATTCTGTACCACTTTTCTCTTTTCTTAGTGGTGCTATATTTTCTTGTATGGCACATCTCTTAGTAAACATGTTCCAAGTTTGTGTTTTAAACAAATGATAAGTGTAAGTTTATTTCTCTATTGTAGTTTCATTCTTAAGAAGGACTGAAGGTTAGTTTTCTGAATTGAGTGACCTTTTGCACTCTACTAATTGTAGTTCCGTTTTTAATATCCACCTTTTTATGTGGATCAGTGTTAACCTACCATGGAATAAAATACACTAGGAATGGGATCACTGGAGAATCAAGTCAGCTAAGTTGCTTTTCTAAGTGTTCTGAATAGCGTCTTAACTGTCTTTAAAAGATTTTGGTAGATTAACTTGAAAAACTGTTTCACTGATGCTACACCTTTTGCTGGTGTTGGTCCGAACAGGTTGGTATGCTTTCCGCTATTGTCAGACGCACGTGCTACTTCCATTTCACTGACAACGAAGCCTCTTGAACGCTATGTTACTAGTTTTTTTCCCGTAATGGAATCATGCATACTATTATACTTGCTGGATGCCCGGATGAACTCACAATCGCTAAGCATTCACTGTACACTCCGTGCTTATTAGCGGGAGACTCTTGAAAGCCATAAATGGCCTTATCATTTTCACGACGTCTTTTATGTACAGTCTATGCTCATTTTCTCTTCACAGAGATGACACCTAGTCTAAAGTCTAACTCTCTTCAAAATGTAGTCACAATCCTAAGCGTAATTAATTTGTTTATGAGATGAAGAGTTCAAAAGCCATCGAAACATCAGCTGGAATCAGCACACACCAGAGCATAATTAGAGTCTAAGGAGATGCTCCAGAATTCCTGAAAGCGATGCGTATGCACACTATTTTGCAGTATGGTGTAATACAACTCAGGTTTGAGTGGTAGGAGAAGGTCAGGTACCAAAGGAGTGATGGTCGTGCTAAGAGTTGTTTATGATCAGCTAATTTCTTTTGGCCACCTTTAGGGCTTGTCCATATACACTTTTCCCAATCAGCTGCAAATTGAAATTGAAACTTCCGATTACTCAATTTGAACGCAAGAATTATAAAAAATGATTGGAAATACGCCTAAGACAAACAGAAACAACGAAAGTAGAACCTTGCACACGAGTGTATCGGTCCAA